TTAAAACATTCTCTGCAAAGTTGAGGTTGATCAGGACAGCTTGGACAAAAAGTTGTTTGTTTTTTCAGATATGCTCGTGCCTCTGATCGGTCCATTTCGTATCTTTTATTTGAACTGTAGCTTCCTCAGTATCATCAACATTTCTTTCTTCTTCCATGACCAATTCTCTCGTAAAATCTCGTCAATAGTATCTTCATAACATTCATTATCACTAAGATTATATTTATCAGTATCCAAATCAGAATCTAACGATGTAATTTTATTTATGCTTCTCCTTCCGGGCGATCCGATCTCTTTTCATTATTGAGAAAAAATAAGGGCAGAGATTTTAAGTTATACCATTCGGTACAACTGTTCCTGCAGGAACAGAAACAGACATGAATTAACAGCGCACGCTTCCTATAGCGGCACGGGTGGCCTGTAGAAGATTTTGTTGTAAATACGCGTGGCAGTGAACGTGTTAAACTATATTTCTTGGGTGTTGAAAGGCAGCAAACTAACTATAGCATTGTGCTTATTTAACTAAGAATTAAGTACGAAAATTCTTGGATGACATATCTTAATTTTAGGAATTTATATTACCACCATCTTCGAAATTTTTTTAAATCTAAAATTTCCAAGCTATTATGCCGGCGTCAAACAAAAGAATCATATCTAAGATCTGGACGGCGGACGGCATAGTGTTAACATCGTAAAAGTTCCGATCGCCATTTTAACGGATGTTTAGCCACCCAGGGTTGACGATGGTGCGCGGTTCTGAATGGCTGCCTTCGCGATGTTTCGAAGGAGTTTATTTAGCAGGTTGTTTCCAGAGGAATGGACGCGAGGCTTCGGCAGTGCCACTGCTTTGCTACCAATCAGTCCGATCCACGTCGTGGACGGAAATCCTGAGGAATCACACTAAAGCCGGGTCGTCCTACATAGAAATTACCACGATGGTCGGTGTCGAGGCGTGCGTGTGCTCGTGTACACGCAACTGCGTCAACGACAGTAAAACGGAGTCGCGAACCGACAGAGGAAACGGAGGATTTGTCACGAAGGCAGTTTGGTTTAACTGATCTCATCCGTCTTGCCGCGGACGTTGCTACGTTCTGGCAGCTGTCTTCGTCGTTGTCTCGACGACAACGTTGCCCCGGCTTTCATTGTGTGCGACAGCTTGATTCACCCCCTCGTCTTTTTCAAACTGAATTGAATCGTCTCGTCGATCCCCACCGGCCAATGATCCCAGACTTTTAATATTCGCCCGTGGACACCACTAGCCGGTTAGGACATTGCATTGTTAAACTCGAAGAAACACTCTCGAACTTTTAAGATCTGTTCGTCCATAGTAGGAAGTTACAATAGACAGCTTATATAGCGAAATTGTTACTGAAACTTTTATGTAAAGTTCTTCGAAATGTGGAACATTTTCTTCAAATGTTTTAGTATTTGGTTTAATCGGTATGTAATCAAGTTTCTGTTAAAAATCGCGATTGTAAATTAAAGTATCAAAAATCAACTGCAATTTAAATTTCTATCAGAAGTCAACTTAAATTCTATTATAATCAAATATCTATTAAATATCTAATTCTATTATAATTAAATATCTATTAAATATCTAATTCTATTATAATTAAATATCTATTAATACCTGCAAAAAATGTCTATC